ATTTGGGGGATATTTGGGGGATTTTTGGGATTGGGGGTTTTTTGGGGGGATTTTTGGTGGATTTTTGGGATTTGGGGGATATTTGTGGGGATTTTGGAGGATATTTGGGGGATTTTTGGGATTGGGGGTTTTTTTGGGGGATTTTTGGTGGATTTTTGGGATTTTGGAGGATATTTGGGGGATTTTTGGGATTGGGGGTTTTTTGGGATTTTTTTGGTGGATTTTTGGTGGATTTTTGGGGTCCAGGCTCACCCGGGCGGGTCCCGGCTCCGTTTCCCGGCGGTTCCGGAGCTGCTGCGGATCCGGGAGAGGCTGAGCTGGGCCCGAATTCCGGGACCCCAAACCCCAAATTCCCAAAATCCCCAAATTCCCAAAACACCAACCTCCCAAACCCCCAAAATCCCAAACCTCAAATACCAAAACCCCCAGAATGCCAACCCCGTAATTCCCAAAAATCCCAAACCCCAAATCCCCCCAAATCCCCCCAAAATCCCCAATCCCCAAAATCACAAACCCCAAATCCCAAAACCCCCAGAATGCCAAACCCCCAAAATCCCAAATGCCCCCAAATGCCCCCAAACCCCAAATCCAAAATCCCCCCAAAATCACAAACCCCAAATCCCAAAACCCCCAATCCCAATAATCCCAAATCCCCCCAAAACCTCAAATCCCCAAATTCGCAAACCCCAAAATCCCAAACACCCAAACTGCCAATAAACCCAAAATCCCAAACCCCAAATGCCAAATTCCAAACCCCCAAAAATCCCAAACCCCAAATCCCCAAAAATCCCAAATCCCCAAAAATCCCAAACCCCAAACCCCAAAAATCCCAAATCCCCAAAAATCGCAAACCCCAAAAACCCCAAACCCCCAAAAATCCCAAATCCCCAAAAATCCCAAACCCCCAAAAATCCCCAAAAATCCCAAACTCCCAAAAATCCCAAATCCCCAAAAATCCCAAACCCCAAACCCCCAAAAATCCCAAATCCCCAAAAACCCAAATCCCCAAAAATCCCAAACCCCAAACCCCCAAAAATCCCAAACCCCAAATCCCTGGCCGGGGGTCCCAGTTCCCCCAGAGCAAATCCCAAACCCCCCAAAATCCCTGAGACCCCCCAGACCCCCCAGATCCCTGTGATTTCCCTGAGAGATCCCCCAGAGATCCCCCAGATCCCTGTGATTTCCCTGTGATTTCCCTGCGATTTCCCTGTGATTTCCCTGAGAGATCCCCCAGATCCCTGTGATTTCCCTGTGATTTCCCTGCGATTTCCCTGTGATTTCCCTCAGAGATCCCCCCTCGCCCCCTCGCAGCCGCTCCCTCACCTCAGCGCCGCCTCCGCCATTGCCGCTTCCCGCCTTCGGCCGCGCGCCTCCGAACCGCCCGCCCTGCGCTCCCATTGGCCGAGCGCCACGTCAATCATCGCCGCTCGCTCGCCATTGGTTCAACAGCGCGCGGCTCCTCGTTGCACCCGCCCCCAATGCGTTGCAGCCAATCGGAGAGCGCGGCTCGCCGCGCGGGTTGGCCATGGGACTGCAACTCCCAGCGTGCCGTGCGAGCGCAGAGCGGCGCTTCCGGGCATTGCGCCGCGCGGGGGCTGATGGGAGTTGTAGTCGCGGGCGCGGGAGGCTCTGAGGGACGGGAGGGGGATGAACGAGGGGCTAATTAAGGTTCTGCTGTTAATTAGTTAGGGCAGCGGGGAGCGGCTGCGGCGGGGTTCCCTTCCCCTGGCCCGCCCTGAGCAACCCCCAATGGCCAGACTGGGAAAAACGGGAAAAAACGGGGGAAAACCGGGGGAAAACCGGCAAAGCACGGGAAAAAACCCAGGGGAAAAAACCCAGGGAAAAGGCGGCTCTGAGCGGATCTTGGACATTTTATCCATCAAAAGCGCAGTAAAATCTCATTTTATTGATTTCTGTGCTCTGCCATGGCCCAGCTGGGAGCGTTCGGCTCAATTCGGCCCGAAATCGTTCAAGTCCCCCCGTTTGGGGCTAAAAAGAGGAAAAACGGGGAAGAGGATAAAAGAGAGGGGGAGAGGAAAGGGAAAGGGGCGAAAAAAGGGAAAAGATGAGAGAAAAGGAAGGGAAAAGGGGGAAGGGAAAAACAGGTAAAAGAGGAGAGGAAAAGGAAAGGGAAAAGGGGAGGCAGAGAAGGGAGGAGGAGAAAAGGCAAAAGGAGAAAAAAAAGAAAGAAAAATTAAAGAACAGAAAGCAACGTTCCCCCGCGCAGCGCGCATGCGCGGTTCCCTGTGCAGCACTCAGCACGGCCGCTCTGCGCATGCGCACTGGGATCCCCGTACGCTGTCATGGCTGCCCTCTCACATACGCAGTTCTGTTTCCTGTGCAGTGTCATGGCCGCTGTGCGCAGGCGCACTGAGATTGCCGTACGCTGTCATGGCCGCCTTCACGCTCCACAGTTCCGTTTTCCGTACAGCGTCATGGCCGCTCTGCGCATGCGCAGGTTCCGTAGAGCGTCATGGCCGCTCTGCGCATGCGCCCTGGGCGTTCCGTACATCGTCATGGCCGCCCTCACATACTACAGCTGTGTTTTCCGTACAGCGTCACGGCGGCTCTGCGCATGCGCAGTGCCGGTTCCATATATTGTCATGGCGGCTCTGCGCATGCGCCCTGGGCGTTCCGTATATCGTCATGGCCGCCCGCACGCGCAGCTCCCTCGCCCCGCCGCTCTGCGCAGGCGCGTTCCGTCCGCGCCGCCGTGACGTCACTGCGCGCGGCCTCTTCCGGGCCGGGCCTGCCCCGAGGAGGCGGCGGAAAAACCGGGAAAAAAGCGGGAAAAAAACCGGGGAAAATCCCGGGAAGAGCGGGAAAACAGCGGGGGAAAAGTGGGGAGAAGCAGGAGAAAGGCGGGGAGAGGCGGAGAAAGGCGGGCTGAGAGCGGCGGCGGCAGCGGCAGCGGCAGCCATGGTGTTCTACTTCACCTCCGACGGTGAGCGCGGCCCCCCGGGAATCCCGACAATTCCCGCCAATTCCCGCCAATTCCCGCCACTGTCCCACCAATTCCCGCCGCTTCCCGCCAATTCCCGCCAATTTCAGACACTTCCCGCCAATTCCAGACACTTCCCGCCAATTCCAGACACTTCCCGCCAATTCCCGCCGCTTCCCGCCAATTCCCGCCGCTTCCCGACACTTCCCGCCAATTCCCGCCACTTACCGACTTTTTCCCGCCACTTCCCGCCAATTCCCGCCAATTCCCCGCCAATTCCAGACATTTCCCCGCCAATTCCAGACATATTCCCGCCCTTTTCCCGCCGTTTCTCCTTTTCCCGCCCTTTTCCGCTCGGGGTTTTTGCCGCGAGGTCCGGAATTGGCGCGGGAAAATTCCCGGAAAAAAAAAAAAAAAAACCAGGAATGGCTTCGAAAAAAGCGAAAATTTCCCGGGATTTTCCTGGAATTTTCCTGGAAGGTTCCAGGATATTTCCCGGGTTTTTACTGGAATTTTCCAGGAATTTTCTTTGGTTTTTCCAGGATTTTTTCAGGCCATTTCCTGGATTTTTCCTGGAATTTCCCTTCCTTTTCCCCAGATGTTTCCCGAGTTTTTCCAGGAAATTCCCAGGAATTTTCTGGGATTTTTCCAAGATACTTCCTGGATTTTCCTAGGATTTTTTCCAGATTTTGCCTGGCTTTTCCCGGGAATTTTCCTGAATTTTTCCCGGATTTTTGCCTGGATTTATCCCGGATTTTTCCATGGAATTACTCTGCCTTTATTCCCATTTTTTCCTGGATTTTTTCTTTGGAATTATTCCCAGTTTTCGTGCGTTTATTCCCAGCTTTTTCTATGGATTTATTCCCGTTTTTCCATGGATTTTGCAGATTTTCCCATTGATTTGTTCCAAATTTTCCATGGAATTTTCGCGGATTTTTCCATGGAATTTTTCCCATTTTTCCATTGATTTATTCTGGATTTTTTCCTTGGATTCATTCCAAATTTTCCATGGGATTTTTCCCCATTCTTGCATGGATTCATCCCTGGGTTTATTCCCAATTTTCCCTGGATTTGTTCCCAATTTTCCATGAAATTGTCACAGATTTTTCCATCGAATTTTTCCCATTTTTCCCGGGATTTATTCCCATTTTTCCCGGGATTTATTCCCGTTTTTCCCGGGACTAATTCCCATTTTTCCCTGGATTTTTTCCCGTTTCTCACGGAATTTTTCCCGTTTTTCCGCAGTGGCGGCGGCGCCCTACACCATCTACATGGGCAAGGACAAGTACGAGAGTGAGTCCGGAATTCCCAACTTTTCTGGGAGTTTTTGGGAGTTTTTGGGAATTTGGGGAATTATTTTGGGGATTTTGGGATGTTTTTTGGGAATTTTTTGAGAATTTGGGGGATTTTTGGGGATTATTTTATCGATTTTGGGAAGTTTTTTCGGAATTTTGGAATTTTTTGGGGCAAATTTTGGGAAATTTTTGGGAATTTTGGGAAACGTTTGGGAATTTTGGGAATGATTTTGGGAGTTCGGGGAAAATTTGGGGGATTTTTGGGAATTATTTTGGGGATTTGGGGAATTTTGGGGCGTTCTGGGGAATTTCAGGGATAATTTTGGGAATTGGTTTGGGAATTTTTGGGAATTGTTCAGGAATTCTGGGGATTTTTTGGAGAAAATTTTGGGAATTCTTTTGGGGATTTCCTGGATTTCTTTTGGGAATTCTGGGAATTCTTTTGGGGATTTTGCGGGGAATTTGGGGGAATTTTTTTGGGAATTTCTGGGATAATTTTGGGAATTCTTTTGGGAATTATTCGGGAATTATTCCAGAATTCTGGGAATCTTTTCAAGTAAATTTTGGGAATAATTTTGGGGATTTTGGAAACTTTGTCGGGAATTCTGGGGATTATTTGGGGGGAATTTTGTGGCTGGATTTGGGGTTGGAATTCTGGGATTTGGGGCTGGAATTTTGGGATTTTCTGTGGGAATTCCCGGATTTGGGGCTGGATTTGGGAATCCTGGGATTTGGGCTGGGATTGTGGTTGGGAATTTTGGGATTCTGGCCGGAATTCCAGGATTTTGGGATGGGAATTCCGGGATTTTGGGGTGGGAATGTTGGGATTTTGTTTTGGGATTTTGGGGTGGGAATTCCGGGATTTTGGGGTGGAAATCCTGGGAATTTTGGGCTGGGAATTCCGGGATTCAGGGGTGGGAATGTTGGGATTTTGTTTGGGAATTTTGGGATTCTGGGGTGGGAATTTTGGGATTTTGCCCGGAATTCCTCCCGCAGACGAGGACCTGATCAAGCACGGCTGGCCCGAGGACGTCTGGTGAGCGCCGAATTCCCAAATTCCCAAATTCCCGAATTCCCGAATCCCAAATTCCCGAATTCCCAAATTCCCGAATTCCCAAATTCCCAGATTCCAAATTCCCAAATCCCGACCATCGGGACCGTGGCGCCGGGGGGGCCCCGGGGCTGCTCCCGGGATCCCCAATCCCGAATTTCCCCGATCCCGCCCCTTTCCCAACCTTTTTTTCCCACTTTTCCCGTTTTTTTCCCATTTTCCCACCTTTGTCCCCATTTTCCCTCTTTTCCCATTTTCCTTCTTTTCCATTTTCCCAGTTTTTCCCATTTCCCACTTTTCCCTTTCCCCCACTTTTCTCAATTTTCCTTCTTTTCCCCTTTTCCCACTTTTTTCCTTTTCCTCCATTTTTCCCAACTTTTCCCATTTTTCTCATTTATTCCCACGTTCCCATTTTCCAGCTTTTCCCAATTTTCACATTTTCCCAATTTTTACATTTTTCCCATTTTTCTCCTTTCGCACTTTTCCCACTTTCCCATTTTCCTATTTTTCCTTCTTTCCCATTTTCCCACTTTTTCCCACTTTTTCCCACTTTCCCACTTTCCCATTTTTCCCATATTCCTGCTTTTCCCAATTTTCAAATCTTCCCCAATTTTTTCCCATTTTCCCACTTTTCCCATTTCCAATTTTCCCTTTGTTCCCACTTTTCCCACTTCCCACTTTTCCCTTTCCCCCCACTTTTCCCAATTTTCCCATTTTCTTCCCATTTTTCCCTTTGTTCCCACTTTTCCCACTTTCTCATTTTTCCCCTTTCCCCTTTTCCCGTTTTTTGTCTTTTTCCCTTTTTTCCATTTTTCCCACTTTTCCCACTTCTTCCCATTTTTCCAATTTTTCCCTCTTTTCCTTCCCCTTCCCCACCTTTGTCCCAATTTTTCCCATTTTCCCATTTTTTCCCATTTTCCCTTTTTCCCACTTTTCTCGATTTTCCCACTTTTTCTCCCCATTGTTCCCTCCCCTCCGGATTCCCGGGAATTCTCCCCTGCGGGAGGGGTTGGGAATTTTGGGAATGATCCCGGATTTTCATGGGATGGGGGCTGGGAATTCCCAGGAAATCCCTGGGGTTGATCCCGGAATTCCCGGGAATTTGGGAATTTTGGGGGAATGTTGGGAATTCAGGAATTCTGGGAATGTTGGGAATTCGGCGCAGGTTCCACGTGGACAAACTCTCCTCCGCTCACGTCTACCTGCGGCTGCAGCCGGTAACGGGAAAACCCGGAAAATCCGGGAAAAACGGGGGGAAAACGGGGGGAAATGGGAAAAACTGGGGGGGAAATGGGAAAAAATGGGGAGGAAAAGGGGAAAATGGGGGGATTTGGTACTGGTTTATACTGGGAGGGACTGGGAGGGGAAAAATGGAAATGGGAAAAACTGGGGGGGAAATGGGGAAAAATGGGAAAATCCTGGGAAAAACTGGGGGGAAAACGGGAAAAATGGGAAAATCCTGGGAAAAACGGGGGGAAAACGGGAGGAAATGGGGAAAAACTGGGGGGAAAATGGGAAAAACGGGGGGAAAATGGGAAAATCTTGGGAAAAAATGGGAGAAACGGGAAAAACTGGGAAAAAATGTGGGGAAATGGGGAAAAATGGGGGGAAATGGGAAAAGTGGGAAAAAATGGGGGAAAACGGGAAAATCCTGGGAAAAAAATGGGGGGAAATGGGAAAAAATGGGAAAATCCTGGGAAAAACTGAGAAAAAATGGGGGAAATGGGAAAAACTGGTGGGAAAATTGGAAATAATGGGGAAAAATGGGAAAAAATGGGGGAAAATGGGGGGAAATGGGAAAATCCTGGGAAAAACTGGGAAAAAATGAGGGGAAATGGGAAAATCCTGGGAAAAACTCGGGAAAAGGGGAAATAATGGGGGAAAATGGGAAAAATGGGGGAAAACGGGAAAAAATGGGAAAATCCTGGGAAAAACTGAGAAAAAATGGGGGAAATGGGGGAAAATTGGAAATAATGGAGAAAAATGGGGAAAATGGGGAAAATGAAAAAAATGGAAAAAAATGGGAGGAGGAAAATGGGAAAAATGGGGAAAATGGGAAAAAATGGGGGGAAAATGGGAAAAATGGGGTTAAATAGGGAAAAATAGGGGGAAAATGGAGAAAAGTGGGAAAAAATGGGAAAAATGGAAAAAAAATAGGGGGAAAATGGGGAAAATGGGAAAAACTGAGGAAAAATTGGGGAAATGAGAAAAAATGGGGAAAAATGGGAAAAAAACAGGAAAAATGGGGGGAAACAGGAAAAATCCTGGGAAAAAACACGGGGAAATGGGGGGAAAATGAGGGAAAACTGGGAAAAATGGGAGAAAATGGGAAAAACTGGGGGAAAATGGGGAAAAATGGGAAGAATTGGGAAAACCTGGGAGAAAGTGGTAAAAATGTGGGAAAATGGAGAAAATGGGGGGGAAATGGGGGAAAATGGGAAGATTCTGGGAAAAAATGGGGGGAAACAGGAAAAATGGGAAAAACTGGGAAAAAATGGGGTAAAACGGGAAAAATTGGAGGAAAATGGGAAAAAATGGAAAAATCCTGGGAAAAACCATGGGAAAATGTGGGGGGAAAATGGGAAAAAAATGGGAAAAACTTCCGGGAAAACTGGGAATGGAAAACTGGGAATGGAGAACTGGAACTGGGAATGGAAAAGTGGGATGGGGAAGGGAACTGGGAATTGTCCCGGGAAAAGGCGGGAATTGTTGGGAATTGCTCCGGGAGTTCCGTGGGAATTGTCGGGAATTGCTCCGGGAATTGTTGGGAATTGCTCCGGGAGTTCCGTGGGAATTGTCGGGAATTGCTCCGGGAATTGTTGGGAATTGCTCCGGGAGTTCCCTGGGAATTGTTGGGAATTGCTCTGGGAATTGTTGGGAATTGCTCCGGGAGTTCCCTGGGAATTGTTGGGAATTGCTCCGGGAGTTCCGTGGGAATTGTTGGGAATTGCTCCGGGAGTTCCCTGGGAATTGTTGGGAATTGCTCCGGGAATCGTCGGGAATTGCTCCGGGAGTTCCCTGGGAATTGTTGGGAATTGCTCCGGGAGTTCCCTGGGAATTTTTGGGAATTGCTCTGGGAATTGCGGCTCCGCAGGGCCAGGGCCTGGACGACATCCCCCGGGAGGTGCTGAGCGACTGCGCCCACCTGGTGAAGGCCAACAGCATCCAGGGTGCGCCCGGGAACACGGGAAAAACACGGGAAAAACACGGGACAGACACGGGAGGGACACGGGAAAAACACGGGAAAAACACGGGAAAAACACGGGAAAAACACGGGGAAAACACGGGGAAAACACAGGAGGGACATGGGGAAAACACGGGATAAAATACAGGCCAACAGCATCCAGGGTGCGCCCAGAAACACGGGAAAAACACGGGAAAAACACGGGAAAAACACGGGAGGGACACGGGAAAAACACGGGAGGGACACGGGATGGACATGGGAGAGACACGGGAAAAACATGGGGAAAACACGGGAGGGACACAGGGAAAACACGGGAGAGACATGGGATGGACATGGGAGAGACACGGGAAAAACACGGGAGAGACACGGGAAAAACACGGGAGAGACACAGGAGAGACACGGGAGAGACATGGGGAAAACACGGGATAGACACGGGGAAAACACGGGAGAGACATGGGATGGACACGGGAGGGACACGGGGAAAACACAGGATAAAATACAGGGAAAACACGGGATAGACACGGGAGAGACACAGGAGAGACATGGGAAAAACACGGGAGAGACACGGGGAAAGCATGGCATAAACACGGGGAAGACACGGGAAAACACGGGATAAAATACAGGATAAACACGGGAGAAAATATGGGATAAGCACGGGGTAAACACAGGATAAACACAGGATAGGCACGGGAAAACATGGGATAAACACGGGATAAAATACAGGATGAACATGGGAAACACACGGGGAAAATACGGGGAAACCACGGAAAAACATGGGGAAAACATGGGATAAAATATGGGATAAACACTGGATAGACATGGGATAAACATGGGGAAAACATGGGATAGACACAGGAAAACATGGGATAAACACGGGGAAAACATGGGAAATACATGGGATAAACATGGGGAAAACACGGGATAGACATGGGATAAACAGGATAAACACGATGAAAACATGGGATAGACATGGGATAAAATACAGGGAAAACATGGGATAAACACAGGAAAGACACGGGATAAAACACGGGATAAACATGGATACAATCTTGGAAAAATGGGACAAAATCCGGAAAAGTGGGAAAAATTGGAAAAAGTCTTGGGAAAATGGGATAAAATCCGGGAAAATGGGAAAAAATCCAGGAAAAACACATGAAAAAACCAGGAAAATGGGGAGAAATCTGGGGAAAAATTGGGAAAACCCAGGAAAAAAATGTGGGGAAAAATCCTGGGAAAAAACTGGGGGAAAAAAAGGGGAGAATAGGAAAAAACCCAGGAAAAACGGGAAAAAAACAAAGGAAAAATTGGGGGAAAACCCAGGAAAAATGGGGGAAACCTGGGAAAAAGCCCAGGACAAAAAACTGGGAAGAATGGGATAAAATCTGGGAAAAAAACAGGAAAAAATGGGAAAATTGGGGGAAAAAAAGGGGGAAAATCTGGATAAAATCTGGGGAAAATGGGAAAAACCTGGGAAAAATGGGAAAAACCCGGGAAAATGGGAAAAAAATGGGAAAAATGGGGAGAAACGTTGGAAAAATGAGGAAAAACCCGGGAAAATGGGAAAAATGGGAAAAACATGGGAAAAATGAGGAAAAACCTGGGAAAACGGGGAAAAAAACCAGGAAAAAATGGGGAGAAACCTTGGAAAAATGGGCAAGCTGAGCTCGGTGTCGGTGGTTTATCCCATTTTTCCCTGTTTTTCCGGGATTTTCCGGGATTTTTCCCTGTTTTCAGGCTGCAAGCTGAGCTCGGTGTTGGTGGTTGATCCCGTTTTTCCCTGTTTTTCCGGGATTTTTCCATGTTTTCCCTGTTTTCAGGCTGCAAGCTGAGCTCGGTGTCGGTGGTTGATCC